CACAAAAGGAAATTCCATACCCAGGGTGCACATGGTCCCCCAGCCCCTACCTCATTTAAAAGGTTGTTTCTGTCAAAAAGCATAATGTGGTCTTGGAGCACAGCTCAGTGGAAAAAACTGGTTACCCTATGGGCATGAGGACTTACGTTTGAACCCTGGAATTTATGGCGATGCATCTGCCTCGATTACCAGTGAAAGAGACAGGGTACCCTGAGGCTACCTCACTAGCAAGCCTAGTCTAATTCGCCAACCTCAGACCAATCAGAGAACCTATCTTGAAAACCTATTCTGAGAAACCCCACAGAGGTTGACTTCCAGCCTCTGCACACATGCTTTGCACACACACACACACACACACACACACACACACACACACACGGGATCACGGGGTGACTTCAGGAACTAGCCACTTAGTTAATGTGATGTGGGGAATAGTATCCTACGCTTGGGGTATCAGCTCTCTCGGTGCCTCTTCCTGATGGCCACAGGAACATCTCTCTCTTTGCACTCATGGAACCTCATTTAGCCTAGACTCCATTCCTCATACACCATAGGTACTGCGGTGTCTCGTTCCTCCCTGTGACCCCAGCCTCTAAAGCCACCGCTGCAACAATGCGCCTCAGCCACACGCGCCGGACGGAAGGATACCAGACCGCTAATTCGGCGACTGTTCCGCCACCTCTTGTGGTTTGGGGGCTATAACTCTTTGTCTTCATGGTGTCATACTTTTGGTTCCCTGCACAGGCAGATGTAAAACTGAGACTAGGAAGAAAAAGGCCTTTCGTGTCGCTCCTTTTAATTAGCCGCCCTGTTAAACTGCAGCAGCTTCACACGGTGCTTCCCTCTCAGCGTGGGGAGCCGCTCAGTGATGCTCCTCACCCAAGCAGTCAGGATCGAGTCGCACGGTTTTCTCCCCCCATTCTCTCTCAAAGGCCAATTTGCTTCTTTTTTTTTTCTAAGACATTTTCCTTTCTCTGCCCTGCCGTTGCAAGAGATTTGTGTATATCACAATGCTGTGCTCACAAAGGTTAGTGTGTGGTGTGGGAGGCCCCCACTCATCCCTGGTGGAGAGAGAGTGGAAGAATCAATGACTGACTGTCCCTCACAGTCTGAAGAAATCCCCCGTTCTCTTACTCTCTTACAAGGGCGACAGAAGCCCCCACGACACTCGCCTCCCTGCCCCCACCCCGTCCACCCTCTGCTCCCCGGTGGGACCTGGAAAGATCAAAGGGACAGATGACAGCACTTGGTGCCCGTTTGTCACTCCATTGGAGGGAACCAGCAGCGGTGTTAACAGTCAGGCCCGGTCCCATGTTTCATGAATATTTTAGAATGTTTGCTGGCAGAATTCTAACTGCGCCGTGTCCTCGGCAGTGTACGTGTCACCCATATTCCGGAGTTTAATCGGAGCTCTGGGGGAAGGAAACATTCTCCATTAGATTCCTTTATTATCCTAAAGCATGCCAGCTAAGCTGTTCCGTGTCTCGGGTCTAAAAGTCTGTGTGGTCTTCCTCGTCACTGCTCCTCTCTGGATCCTGACAACGTGGCAAGGAAAGTGGGTTTGTTTTTATTGACCGATAATTTAGGGGCTCAGGATGGAACCGCCTGTAACACACACACACACACACACACACACACACACACACACACACACTCCTCTCCATCCACACCCCCCAGGATTTTTTTTTACATTTGGCTTCTAGCTGGATAGTTTTTCTAGAACGATTCCCGACCTGCCTTCTGAACCCCTCCATGCCTGTCCTACATGACCTGAGATGGCCCACCATCCTGTCAATATTGCAGCGACTCCTAACCATGTGGCTGCCATACCTGAGTGCTCTGACCCCCTGCGCTCAGGCCTGCGGTGCAGAATGTCCTCATTACCTCCTGTCACTGTCCCTGCGCTAGCCAGGCACAAAGTTGAGTTAGTGAAGGTCCAGCGAGATCATCCTGTCTCCCCTCTTTGTCGAAGTGGACCCTGACACGGTTGGAAATAGGCCTCAGTACCATCGCAGCCTCTGCCAGTCCCCTCTGCTCCACCGTGGGTCTTGGGGGCATCCTCTGTGACACCCGGGGCCTTAGAGGTGCGTGCTACACCCACAGGTCAGTCTGATGTCCTGTGTGTGATTTTCACTCCACCCAGACATAGTGGTTCTCTCGGGGTCTCCCCAGACTTCTGCCCAGAAGGCCCAATCCTGCACCACACCTCTCAGCCTGTGACCCAAGGACTCCCAGGTCCTAGAGGGTTCCTCTCACAGGCAGACCCTCAGACAAAACAGTGTTTATTGATTCTGGATCTCCTGGGCTGCGGCCAAGATTTGTATCTTTAAACAGCTCCCCCAGGACCTTTTATTCACTGAGGTTTGTATTCAGGGTTTGTTTGGGCCCCACTGGCAGACGGTCAGGAGGCCAGAGCATAGGCAGAGAGAGATCGCAATCAGCAATCGCCCACAACACACACACACACACACACACACACACACACACACACACACACACA